CTGGACTGCCGGTTAAGGGTGTGCTGGGTTCCATGCCTGTTCCATGTAGAAGACTCATGCACTCCCAGGCCATGACTGGCATCCTTACAAAACAAACTGTCTTTCCAAGATAATTACGTCTTCAGGGCCTAGTCCAGTTTTGTGAACATGTTTCAGATGTCAGAGCAGCTTTTGTCACATCTGCTGCTTTCCAAGTGGATCAAAACAAGCCCCAAAAAGAAGAGAAACTGACAAAGGGCTGCTGTCTGAAAAATGGGAAAGGAGGGCTGTCTGTGCCTTGTAGTTCCAGTGTGACTGCTCTTGCCTTCTCTTCTACATCCCATAGTACTTTTGTTGGTGGCTGCAGCTTCAGGGTTGTCCGAGGCTTTGTATCTCCCCTGCCCTGCTTTTTCCGCACTAGGCCATAGCGGACAGAGGAGGTTTGTAGCAAGGCCATGGGAAAGGGACGGCCAGCATTATTTGTGTGGCTGCAGTGGTCGGGGATTTACTGCCATGACTGGGCTGTTGGAGACAGAGTCTACCTACGTCAGGTAGCAGAAGGCAGAAAAAGGCAGAGCAGCAATCCCAGCAGAGGCCTGAATTCACTGAGTTTTGGGGCTGTTATCTTCCAAGCATCTCAGTCTCTGTTGACGAGGTTCAATACTAAAATATAGTGGGTGTAGGAAGAAGAGTCGTGCTCACTTTATTTTCATAGAGATGTTTTTCAAATAAGCTATTTATATTAGCTGGCATTTTCCTTCTTCTGGATGTTTGTTATCTTGCCAGATCTTTTAGTCAAGGCTTTTTTGTTCCTAAGAATTAACAAACCCTTTTCAAAGATGCATGGCTTTCCGTAATAGCAGGGGCTGCTCCAGCTTGTTCTTTATATGAGATGGCAGTGGCTGAAAAACAATCCCAAATATCGAATGGGATCATGGGAGAGCAGCCTTGCTAGAGCTGGCGATTGGAAGATGGCACTGGCAGGAAGCCCTCCAGGTGATCCCTTCCTTCTCAGGGGTTTTAATTACAGAGTGGTTTTGGAAGTAGCCAGGAAGAAAGGGGTACCTCCCGTACCATAGCTTGCTTAGGTGTCCATATTGCTTCTGCTATTACTTATTATTCTCCTTTCCTCCCCTTTCTGCCACTGCCTTAACCAACTAAGTGGTTTGCCAAGGCCCTTAAAAGCTGGGAGGGATAATTGGGAGGTGGCGTGCTGCTCTGTGCAACTTCTGAAAAGAGTGGCTCGCTCTAGAGCATCAGTTGGCCTCAAAGATGTCCTCCTCCCAGGCACAGGTTGGTATAATGGCATGGTCAGGCCCATGTTTCTTTGCTCATTAGGTATGTGCAGGGACTTACATGTATTTTCCATAAAAGCCACAGCAAGTGGTAAATTGTACTTACGATTGGACACAGAAGGCACTCAATTTGGGCATTTATTGCTAGTTGTACAGGGAAGCCAGAGCTAAATACATTGCTCTGCTTCCTAGTGGTTAAGCCAGTTTGGAATTCTCATTTTGCTTTCTTCTTCTTTTTATTTTTCTAAAGGTAATCATGGCCATGACCAGTATTCAGGAAAAAAGTATTATATTTAAAAAACATTTGTTTTCTTCCAGTTTTTATTTCTTACATTAATATGCAGGCATACACATTTACTGAGTTTCTAGAGCTATCATTATCTTGGCTGTAGAATTCCAGGATGGCCCCTAGATAGCAACAAACTGATACAGAAGACTGTAGCCCTTTGCTGCCATCTAGTGGCCATTCACTCACATTTAGTCAATTTTAATTACTATAATATACAGTATTTAGGTTTTTGTTCTTCACTGTATAATGACTATCTTTGTTGTGCTTAATGGTGGTGCTGTAGTTTTTTATATTTCATTATTAACATATAAATAAAATTTGCAAGTGAAAAAACCCCATCTAGTAGTAATCTGGATTTCTGCAGCCCAGATACCCTAATTAGCAATTGCTTTAGTGTGCCCAGCAATATTGTTCAGGTCATTAAGAAGCTATTCCATTTTTTTTTTAATAAAAGCATGTTTTATTTTACCTTTGGCTGCCATAATAGAAGAGGGTGGATTACAGTTCCTTAGAATTTGTCATTCCTCTTGAATAATGGTAATTTGATTGGTTGACATACTCTTATCCTTTGTTTTTGCCATGCTACTTATGCACCCTCCTTAATACACTGTAAAATTGTGATAATAAAGTATCTTATCATAGAAAAGTGAGGTGTGAAAAAATGAAAATGAAGAAAAACAGAAAGCAAATGAGGCAAGCGTGATTGAAGTTCCCTTTCTTCTTTTTCTTTGTTCCCATCTGGGTTGCAGTAGTTATCTTTGCCATCTTTGCTCTTTGTTGTTTTATGGGTTTTTTTTGTTTTATTTTAAATTATTTTTAACTTTTTGTAAACCTCACAGAATTTCTGGGAGTCAGATGGCCTGTTTATTAATAAATAGAAATGCGGGACTTCAAGAGACAGCCTGTAAGACCTCTCTGTGGTTTCTTACCAGAGTAATCCTACCTTTCTTCTTGGGACACTCAAACATCAAAAATTACCATGTTTCTAAAGTCCTGCTAAGTCTCTATCAACAGAGCAGAAGCGATGGAGAAATATTTCCATCTGTCTTTCTCCCATCAGTAGCTTGTCTTTTGAAATCAGAGAGGGAAACCCCTCAAATCCAATATTCCTTAAGATGTGCCCTTACGAATTCTAGGATGCAGAATTGCAACCTGTATCCATTCTCAGTGCAACATGTTCTCTGGCCCATATACATTCTGGTTATTTTACAGGTGCCATTTCAGCAGAGAAGGAAATATTTATGTTCTTTATTCTTAAGAACACATATTAGAGGTGCATTAACTGGTCCAATCCAATTTGGAAATTAACTGCTATGTTTTGCCCAAATTAATTATCTAAAGTGATGTTCTTGGATATCTGCTGTAAGTTCATCTACCAAAAAACCTAAGGCACAGCTAGATGACAAGATGTAGCCAATCTGAGTTGATCTCAAAAAGCTAAGCAGGGTTAGATGTGTACTGTACTTGGAAGAGAGACTACCAAGAAATTTCAGGGTTGTTGGCTAAAACTGGGAAGTTTAAAAAAAAAAAATCCTGGAAGAAGACGTAGCAAATAATTTATTATTGCTAAGAAAACTACATGGATGTGCTCATGAGACCAAAGGAAGTTAATTAACTTTACCCTTACCAGTTCTGAGATAATAAAGTGGGATAAATCATCATCCCAGGTCCTTGGGAAGGACTTGATAGGAGGATAAAAATGCCAAGTCCAGTCTAAACAGCTGGCTGACTGTGCGACCAATAATAATAATAAAGCATACCATTACCAGAGACCCATAATCCACTAATACACCACATTTCCTTGTGTGTCTCATTTGTCTTTTATTGTGTACCAATACAATGAACATGTCATTACCGGAGATGATGGCATGTATCATTCTCTATTTGGAATTGTTCTGGATATGATAAAAGTTGTCATCTCTGTATGGAAAATGGGTCCAACTGTAGAAAGTGAGGCTTTGGTCTGCCCCTAAGCATGAATGCTTTAGGAGAGCCGTCTATTTTCTGCTTGTGAAATAATGATTTATGCTCTGGAGCACAAGGCCTGCTTGGTGCTACCACTGCATTGCATAAGATGGGTAGCAGCAGTACCATCGTCTCTTTGAGAGCTGAGAAGACTTGCTGTGTCTTCAGGAGCCACTTCTATGCAAGTCGTCAGAGACTGGCTTTCTCCTAACCAATAGTTACAAGAGCTCTGCTCGTTTTGTATTGTAATTGAGAGTTTCTCATGATGGCCTTTGCAGTGATAAACCCAAACTAAAGTGTTACTTTTGGCCTGTATGTTGAGTTGTTGCCTTGCTCCTTTCTACATGCTTAAATAACTGACTTTGCAAGCTGATCCAGCATGTACTAAGTTTACAGTCAAAACCCACGTAGGAACCATTGTTTAACCCAAGAATATATTTTCAGTTTAGGTCCCAACACACACTTATTTCTGAGTCAGACCAGACTCAAATGTGTCATTTGAGGACCAAGCACCAAGCAAGGCCCAGAAAGCCATCAGCTTTGCCAAAAGAGAGTGGCATGACTTCCATCTCCCCGCTGCTTCCCTCTGCATGCACCTCAAGCCTGCAGCACCCCGTGCTCAGCGGCACGTGACCAGGAAAAATAAGGCCGTTCTGTTTTGATTTTGGTAGATAATCTTGTGCCGTGGAAGCCAGACGACCAAAACGAAGAGATCATGAGGAGAGGCAAACAGCAGAGCCCAGAGCGGCGGATGGGAGGTAGTTTGGAAAAACAAAAGGGGGATGTAGAAGAATCCACAAGTGTGGGATAAACCAGAGATGCTCCAGTGCTTTTCACACAGTATGTTTCTTTTTCCCTAGCTGGCCTTTTCTGCCCCTTTTTGTGTATTTTCTTAAAATGCTCTACGGTTGGTATCAACGTACTGTATATGCACATTGCTCTATTCTCAAGAACCACAGTGTAAATGTACTTGATTGAACCTGAATTTTATACTCATGCTAGCCCTTTTCTTATTTATGTCATGTATAAATGTACTTATAGAAGAGTCTACTGTTTTATGTCTTTGTACAGTATATGCATAAGAATTTACCCATGCAGAATATTTTTGCAATTATCTACTTGAAGAAAAGGAAACCCCAACTTTCAGAGTTGGAGGTCTGCTGAAATATTTGTCGATAAAATCATGAGGTTAGCAGGAACTCTGTCTCCACTCACGTTCATTCTTCTTATGTAGTCTGAGAAATAAATGCACGCATCAGACTATTCCCTTTCAGGGAAGCAAAGTGCAGAAAAGGGGTAAGAAAAACCTAGATATCAGTCCTGATTAAGCTGTATGGATACATTGTTGCATGTGTATATTCATGGAAACCTTTTTTACTTTTGCTATACAGTGGCAGCCTATCCCTCCTGCCTCAGTTACTCTTTTCAGGGAATCAGACACAAATCAAGTTCAGAGGTCAATAGTGAGAACTATTTTTTTATTTTCAAAATAAAAATGAAAATATGAGCCTGAACGACTGCAGGGAGAAACTGTTAAGTATAATATAAGGAAACTGTTGGATAAAAAAACTAACCAAATTGTTTTATTAAAAAAATCATAACTCTCTTAATAGTTTAAATTTTATGAGGTGACATTGTCTAACTCTGGGTGACATCTGCGCCTGGGATTTTTAATCTAGATTGATTAAAAATCTAGAATGTTTTACTTTCAAATCAATCCCAAACTTTCTCTGAGCTACTTGGATTATAATCTGACTTTATGAGATGCACATGGCTTCTGCTAAAAATTACCAAACTTAACACTATAGTTCTTTCCTGCCTTTCTGTTACAATTTGTACAACTGTCTTATGTCCTGACATCACCATTCCTGCCTTTCTGTGATGCACAGAGTACAAAGAAACATAACATTGTGATGCCGGGATCCAACTAAGATGAGCTGGACTTAATCGAGGGGTATCAAATAGTCATACAAACATTTTAGTACCATATTTCGCTTATGAGTCACGATGAATTCTGTAGAGAGTTACGATTTATAAATTATTATATAAAAAATCTAGAATGTTTTACTTTATGCAGCAATTTCATCCACAAGACTTCTAGTTCTCATGGAGAGATACTATTGATAGCTGCTAACCTAGAGGTTTTTTAGCATTTTTCCAAGGATAAGTTAGAACAAGCCGATTCACACCTGCAGACCAAGTGTTGGGGGTTGCAGCAAGGTATCACATCCTTGTCATGAGAATAATCAGCTATAGACACGTTGTCTGACACAATATCCTGAAGAATATCCATGAGGCTCTTGTTTACCAGTGGCAAGAGAGAACGGTACTCAGCACTCTGGATGTCCATTGGCTCTTGCTCTTGAATATCATGCTGCAAGTCAAAAATGAGGGGTGGCTGGTGATGTGCTTCCTGTCCAATGCTTCCATCACATGCTTTGGCACCACCTACAAAGAGACAAATCACCCACATTCTTTTAACCGCTCTTTTTAAAGTTTTACCTTTGTGGCAGCAGGTCTATGTTACAAGAAAGAATAATCTCGGCACACTACTGTAGGCTGAGCACAAGTACAGTCCAACCAAAGGTTAAGCACTTAATCCAGTGGTTTCAGTGGAAGGAAAAGGAACATTATTATCATAATAGAATTCCTCAGTTCCAGACTCAACGCCTAAACATACTGATAAAATATTTGCAGGCAAATTGCAACAGGGTATCATCCATCACATGTTAGGATTTTTGTCTTGTTCACTGGCTGCAAAACATGGAAGTATGGGATATATTTCTAGGAAAATGAACAAGAGAAAACGGCACTGATAACAATATTTTAGCAAAACAGATTAATGTTTCAGATTAGCTATAGAGGACATATATTTCTTAGGGCAATAAGAGAGTGAAAACGGCAGTTTTCCAATTAACCATTAAAACATTTTCAAGGAGAACAGCTGTTTTCCTTCATTTTAAAGTATTTTCTGAAATATTGCCTATTACAAGAGTTCCTAAACTAGGGGCATGCCCTTGGAAGGGTATGAACAAATTCTAAGAGGAACTAGGACGATATGGATTTTTTTAGAAAGAAAGAAAAACATAAAAAATAATGTTCAAATTTCATACAATGTACTGCAAATATTTTCCAATGTTTGCTATTTGGCATAGAAGTATACATGCTTAGTGGAGAGACCAGGGTTTGTTTTAGAAAGCTGATTCTCAATTTTTCTAACATGTTTATGAATATTTGAGAGCGATCAGGACTGTTTGATTTTATCTGATGATTGGTAATGGGATATAAGATATAAAGGACAGTATGCATACCTAATAGTAAACAGCAATACTGATCTTGTAAATGAACTTGCATTGGAGAACTTTATTAGCAAAGAACTATATGTGGCTGCAGTTAGGAAAAAGAAGTACAATGAAGACTATATTAATATGGCTTCACTGTCATGGACAAAAATAGAATTGGTTATCCTCAAAGCACAGCACACAATAAAGCCACGAGATGTAGTCATCTTGAGCGATACCTTGCAACAAACCACATTCCTTTGAAATACAAGCCAAAGGAATGTTTTGGTGCTATACCTCAAAATATGAAAGACATGAACTTGGATTCCACTGGAGCTTTTCATCAAGCATTTGTCGAAGTGGTAGCCTCTCATGAACTGTCACTGCTAAAGCTAAAAACTGCTCAATTTAGGAGAAAGTTTTAGCTTGATGAAAGCATCTGATATTGTTTGGACTAGACGCTGAAAACAAAAACTTATCAGAAATTTCCCTGATAATTTTTACATTAAAATGTTACATCAATGACTTGGTGGAAGATCTTAAATTTGAACCAATGGATGACGTGGAAACTTCTTTCTTCACAATTCAGTATGATGCTAGCATTGATGTAGCACAATGTTGATGCTGTTCATATACATTTGATTCATTAATGATGCAACTGGTTGTCAATACCTTTCTCAGAGCAACTGACCATATCAAAGGCTTCAAATTATGAAAATGATTTCTGACTTTTTAATTTTTTTTTAAAACAAAATGAAGAAAACTCATGGGGGTATGCCCAGGCAGTGGTCCAGTAGTGCTTAGCTCTTGCTCTGGATTTGTCATATTTGTAAAAGAAAAATCAGTTTTAATCACAATTCATTTTGTTATATAAAGACAACCATGGGCTGCTCCAACTGTTGCAGATCATCTGAATGATCTGTTGAATTTTGATTATCAAAATTATAAGTTTTGTGAAGAGCAGTGCTTTAAATGAGAGAGCTTTTGCAGCTTTTTACATGTATTTGGGAGCAAATCATAAAACACTTCTGTTTCACACCCTCTGGCTTTCAGATTATTTGAACTGAAAGGTGAAACAGAATTTTTCCTCAAGCAAGCAACTAAGAAGGGTTGTCTGATGTGTCTATAGGCCAAATCTTTCCACTTTCACTGGAATGTATATACGGTGGACTTTCTTGAATCTGAACAACTTCAATTTAAAGCTGCATGGAAAACCCTGAAAATATGACAACCCATCACAAACTTATAAAAGTGCTTATGGGGAAAAAAATCCAGCTTTGGAAATATTGGATGCAAACTGAGATGCCCAATTTTCCACCTTTTGCATGTTTCATCATCTGCTGAAAATGAAAGTTAATGTACATAAATATTATAAAGATGTGAAGGACAAAGTTGTGTTTCACCTGGACTGCCTTGCAGAAGAATTATTCTACTATTTCCCAGACAACTTTTCTAGCAACCCTACTCATAAATTAGTACATAATACATTCAGTGTTGAAGTTGATCCACTGCCAGATGTTTTGCAAGAACAAGCAGTCACTATAAAACATGATTCAAATACATAAATATTTCAAAAATTCAAGCCTGGAGGAATTTTGGATAATTAACTGGGGAGTTGGGAAAGTGGAATTTATCTTTCAACTTTTTCATGTACTTCTGTGAAAAAAGCTTTTAAACTTTACTTACAATAAAAACAAAAGGAATCAACTGGATTTCAAAATTGATCTGCACTGTATATTTTAGTTACCCTTTTTTCAATTCATAAAGAAAAAGCATTATCCTTCATATTAAATTTGGTTTACATTTGCTCCTTTTATGTCCATTCACATTTTCATTATTACACCCACAGACACACACACCATTGTCACGTATATCTAAATAAAATTCGTCCAGCAAGTTTTTGTGCTTATTTTTAATTATGAATGGAATGATTTATTAAAAGGGGGGGTTAGTTTAAATTAGAGGTGGGGACATATAAGAGTGGGGGAAAAAAGGGATATGATCCTGAAAAGTTTTGGAACCACCATTCTACTGCAAAAAGACCATGGATAAATTATTGATGAATACACATACCAATTATGGTTCATAACAGGTAAGAACATCTACTTAATTAACTGCAGAGGAAACGGTAATGTGTCTGGGTTAGTATATTACTTGAGATTTCAGATGGGAACTCACTGAAATACAAAAATATGCCTTGTGCATAGACAGACATTAGATTTCCCTATAATCTAGTTTTCTATGTCCCAAAAATATTTTTGGAGGAACTTTGAATCATATGAGGCTTGTCTCCACTCACCTATGATTTTATGTAGTCAACCCCAGAGAAAAATATCACTTCTTTTGCAGATGAGAATTTTCTCAGTGTCACATTGTGGAGTCTTAATATCAAAATTTAGTCTGATGGGAAAGGGGACAGGGAGTTACATATTTGACCTGAGAGAAATTGGTAATACTGTTTTATGCTTTATTAGTGTTACAGAAATATGTTTTCATGTATTGTACTTTGAAACAGACCTGTTTCCTTAGAATACTCTTTTTACAATATTGTACTATTTCCTTAAACACACTTTCAAGATAATTGTTTCCAGTGGATTCTCAATCATAACAGTTTTGTATCCCCCTGTTTGGCTCTGCCACAGTCCCAATTGTGTATAAAGTGTTTGGTAGCTATAGCTGCCCATTTATGCCTAGAGTATTGTAAGCTGTCCTTACTTATAAAACTGATTACTTATGGAACTGTCTATACAGGAGTGGAAAAAAGATTAAGAAACTTAATCTTGAAAAATTTACATCACTCGAGCATATCTTGATGGAGTCAGAAGAGCAATTTTCCTTCTAGGCAATCAAAGATGATTCAGTTCAGACTTGAGTTGTTCTGCACCAACAGTTTAAGTCCCTTGGCTAGCCTATGGACCAGACGTTCCTTGATTCAATACTCATTTTGTCCCACATGGTCAGACTCCATCTTGCTGGATTGATGGAGAGATCCAAAGAGCATATTGTATGACATGCCACTTCTCATTCTAATCCTACTAGTAAGTAGTGCTTCCTATGAGAATTTCTTATACTGGCTGGGGTGCTTACCACTGAAGTTGTGAAGTAAGGCTGAGATCCAGTTCGAGCTCCTTACAGTTTTCAAAGCATGCTGAACTTTTGCCGTGCTGCTTCTTGGATGTACTGTATAGTACAGATATTGTTGAAGCTGTAAGATAAGAAGCGGCTGGGATCTAGTTACAGCTTCTTCCAGCTTCCAAGACATTTTTATGGGGTGCATAGTACAGATACTGCGAGGTGATTTAAGGTTTTGTGTCTGAACAAGTGGAATGTTACCAAATCACTTCTGCTTCTTCAACTCAACATCAAAAAGTGGAACTTGTGGGCACTGCATTTTGTTCCACTAGTCACAGAACACTTGGCAGTTCAGGACAGCATATCTGTGGATACTTGGCCCACTCCATCTTGATAAGCCATCAAGTACAAACTGCTCCCTTGGTGCTGATGCTCCTCTTTCAGCATGTGGAGATACCAATGACAGATTTCTCCGCCAATTGTTCTAACAGCCAGCACTGAGACTTCTACAGCAGAGTAGGCCTAGGATCCCATGGAGATCCTTTTCAGTTCCACTAGCCTTCAGGTTTCCTATACCTGTTTTTCCTACTCCTGCTAGAGACAGTTGTCATTACCACGATGAAAGCTTCTATGTTTGTTTGTACAAGGCAGAATTTGCCTATTTTCCCACAACATTTTGCCAAATGGATGACTGCATATGTGATGATTTAGCCAAAAAGCCATATCCCATCAGCATTCAAAGTCACTCTATGCAAGCAGGTCTGTCTTTGGTATTCCATTGTTGGAAATCGGCTTGTCACAGCCTGGAGGCGGGGTGTGTGTGTTGATTCTCAGAATCCAGCCAGACAAACCCCAGCACTCTAAGACTGTCTTGTGAACTCTTTTCTTTTTATTTGTAGCATTGCAAGATAGGAAGCACTGGTTTGTCTTTCAGCTATGAAAGGCTAATCACATGAATGCATTTTACCTCAAACAAATACACAAACAGATCTTTCCCCCTCCCTTTCCCTGTTAAAGAATTTGGTCTGCAGTAAAAAAAATTATAGCTCTTAACTGCTTCTACCATTTAGTGATTAACTGTTTCCCTACCAGCAA